GCCATCGTTGACAACACAGCCTGGCGACCGAGGAACGAATGTTTCAAAATCTCGATTTGAAATATGGAAAAGTTCCGACTCAACTTGGCCACAGATAGGCAATGCCGACAACGAAGCGATTTTAATTACTTTCCCCTCAGACATTCATTCATTTCCACTTGTTGCCCATCAGTTAAAAGTCAAAAGAGGAAACTCTCCAAATGGTAATTCCATTTCCATTTCGGACATTTCACGCTTGAAAGGATTTCATGCCACACAGACGACCATCGCTGATGTCTATCGTCCTGTGGCCATTACAACTTATTGCCACTACTGTGGCTACTTTTAATACACCAAATTAACTTTTTCGTGGGGTATTCCTCGGGCCACGCTTCCCTCTCCACCCACCGCCCACTCGAAAAGCAAGGACGCGTTTATCCGTCGGTTATCTCGCCTTTTGTTGATTAATAGCTTTGCGGTAATTAATTTGGCATGAATGAGGTGCATTTGTATAGAACGAGATGGATTGGTATGGAAATGGACTTCAATCGGGAGTGGGGCTTATGGATATCAGCCATCAATGTGAGTACTTTATGGAAAAAGGGTTTGGGACTGTTTAGATCTAATTAGATATGCTTTACTATGTGTTAATAAACCTAAATCTGTTAAGGGGCAATATTTTAGGGCACAATAAGACTAATGGAAGTAATAAAGTAAGGTAATGTTATAAATTTCACAACGGTAATAAGCCAACAAATATTACGCTATAGCTAATAATTCGTTACGGTAGCTGGCTTAAAATAGTAACTCATTGTTTTCAAGATCCTTATTAGATCTATAGAAGGTTAATGTATGCTTTTATAATCCTTGGGTGAACTGTTTACAAACTGGAAATAATCAAAGTGAAGAACATTATTAGTTCTGTCGAAATCTGCGTATAAAATCTGCAAATTTCTTGTAAAATGAATTAATAGGGCAAGGGAGCATTGGTTCCTCTAAAACAGATTTAACCGGCAGTTGCAGAGTCCTCGCATTACCTGAAACTTTTCTCATTATATCTGCACTTACACAGCGACAAACAGCGGGAACTTCGAGCCCACCCGCAGCTTCAGGTTTTACCAATGACTTCCGTCATCACCGACACACTCAAAGTGTAAATTTGCATTTGCTTCTAATTACGAGCGGGAACGAGAAATTGCCCAGAACTGGGAACCGAGAACTGAGACCTGAGACCTGAGCAGGCCCGTATTCGCAGCATCCCAGCATCTTGGCAACTCGGAAACTTGGCATCTGCAAATGGAGGAGCACTTGCGGCAATTGCAATTTAGAATTTTCAATTATATTTATATTTTTTATGGGGCTTAAGGGTAGTTGGTGGTGGTGGAAAGCGCCCGCACACACACGGAAGCACTGGAAAACTACAAATCAAGTGCCACGCACGCAAATTTCCTTTAATTAAAACCAAACTTTTGAGGACCCCTCGTCGGCGTCTTCTTCACGTTCCTCGCCGCAGATGCATCTTCACTCGGCAACCCAACTGCAAACTACTCGTTCTCAACTCAGGCGGAACCAAGGCGACATAATCTTCGAGTGAGGCCCTAAGTGCGGGCCGCTTTTGTTGGTCGCCAGGCGAAGCGATTAAAGGCCAAAGTTTGCTCAGGTGCAGAAATACAATTAGGGCCTAAGGACACTGCAATGTGCCTACAAGGTTTCGCAGTTGAAGTGCCTAAATCGTCTTCAAAAAATAACTATTTCGAAGCACTTAACGAAATTGACAGGAAAAGAAAATAAAACTTATAAGAATAGTTAAGATATTTTACTTTCTTTCAAGAATTTTTTGAGAACTTAGCTTAATTTGGTTAGCCTTTCTATATGTATTTAATTCTTTTGCAGGAGAACACATTTAACAAATAAGTTTTACTAAAAAATGTTCACTAAATTGTGGCGTAGTTTCCTAAAAGCCAAAGTCGTAAAAATGTAAAGCACTTCCTGTTGTGTAACTTAATTTATAATACATTGGTGTACATTATTCTTTTTACTAATTTTATGTAATTCAATAGTACCTGTACATTTACCGGATAAGTCAGCGCACTTCTAGATTCCTAAAAACAAAAATCTTTGAACCCAAAACTAAGACAACACTCCCTTGATTGGGATTAGGAAAATCAAGCCAAAGCCTTCAAAAATCTCTTCTTGGCCTGGTTTCGAAATAGCTCCTGCGCAAACATCCATCAAAAAGTTAAATTCAGTTTTCCTCGCATTTCTGCCGGAAGAGCACTTAGTAAAAAAAAGACTAACCCGGTGAAGGAAAAACCAACTTTGGCGCCAAAAGAAGCGAGGCGAGTGCAGAGGAAAACTTTTCTAACCCCATATTAAAACATATTTGCGCAAAAATATGCAGATGCCTGGAGAGTGCAAGGAAGTTTCCCCGCATATACACACCATCTCTATATGTAGGCAGGTGGCGGAGGTGCGTTGGCAGTCAATTGCTCATTGACTTGGCTCAAAAATTGTTGAGTGTCGAGTTCTAAGTCCTAAGCCCCAGCTAACATGTTGGCCAAAGTTCCCTGGCACCAGATACGGAAGAGCCGACATCTTCCTCTTCGGAATACCATTTCTTTCGGTTTTAGTTTCCAGTTAAGTTTACGTGAGCGTGGATTTCAAGCTGTGCGCGCACATAAGTTTGCGGCTTAAGCATGTGAAATTCATATGGAAGGAAGGTGGCAACCTCCCCCGAATTTCCCATAAAATACTGACAGGGCTAATGCATTGCCAGCCACCCAAATAATCCAAGACACTGCGTCCACGGGGTGCTGAAAAAGTCAAACGAACTTACTGGCGCCAAAAGTTTAAAATTAAATGACGTTGGATCGGAGAAAACGCTACCAGATAGGTCAAAATGCGCAGGATATTAGGAGAATCTTCATTTAGTTACCAAGTCTTTCGCAATTAACATGATAATCTTCTAAAAAAAGTAACAAAAAGTAATAAGGTACTCTCTTTTTATAAAAATAATTTTGTTACGATTTTGAATATTTAAAAAATATTGCGAGTTTCCGTTTCATTACTTGTTAATTCGAAATTAAGATAATATTTCTCCAAAAAAGATTTCCTAATAAACAATAAATAAGGTATGGCTAATAGCTTCAAGATAGGTAGGGTACTGAGAATATTTTTATTTACTTAATAATATAATTCTTAAACAAAAAAAATCTTTTAAATAATATCTTCAGATAAATCTCAGAACAAATGGAAATGTTTCCACCTTCTAGTTTCTACAACGTAGGTCCCACATATAATTAATAAATGATCAGGTTAACTTTGACTTTCAAAAAATATTCTTACCATTTATATAAACATCCCCATTCAACTTAACTCTTTAGTCAGTTTAGTCATCAGACTCCAACGTGTTTACCCGTTGATGTGACTATCTGTGACGCCAGTATTCGATTATAAATTCAACTTCATTAAAATATAAGAGAGCAAAGAATGGCCCAAAAATCTGTGCTGTGCGCAAAGGCTAATTATGCTTATGCAAAGTGTTTTTCGGTCTTTGAACCTAATGGAATATAATTTGAACAAAATTATTGAAAATTGACGGTAATTGAAATGAATTTGAACAAATTTGAGTGCACGGCGTTGGGTGTCGTGTTGTTTCACCATCAAAATCAAAGGAGCCAAAGAGCGTTGAGTGTTGAATGTTGCAACTTTGACACGCGACGAAGAGGGCTTTAGCCCCATGGTTCTGCAATTTTGAGGTCCTCTAGGCCTGCCGAAAAGGGTTCATTAGACATTTTACCGAAATTACAGCACATTTCCAGCGGCGACTTCTCAATGATTAGACCTAAGGTAGTGGATTATTTGAAATAGAGGGCTCCCTTTTATTTAAGTAACCCGGCTTAAGTGAAACTGTAGTACAACTTCAGGCGGATAAAGACACTAAACAGCTTACTTGCTGGAAAGCTGCAAAGGGGAACTCGTGCCCGACTAAACACAAATTCAATGAAAATAAAAATAAATTAGCCGCTTTAAATGAGCCAAATAAATTCATTTAGGGCTTTATGCGCTCCACTGAAGTATGCCAAAAAGACACCGTCGTCGTCGTCATTCACGTCACCCTCTTTTTTGGCTGGCAGGGTTAAGAGCCAAGTTAAAGGCAACACGTATTGCCAAACTCGATTGCCCCTGGCTCCGCACACCAAATGCAATTTCACTTCACCCTCGTCGTGGAGGTAAAAGGAAATTTCCAGGGTCTTTCTCGGGTCCCAAGTATTCCCCAGCTGCAGGTGATTCCCCTTTGCAGCACTTATCTATTGAGCTCCGTTTGCTCCATTTGGACAACTCTTGAAATCAACGCCGACAAAATAACAAAACGACAAAAAAGTTTCTTTTGATTATGCCAATGGCAGGTGTTTATCTTTACAAAATGTAACCGAACTGAGAAAATATGTTTTTCGCATGATCTCATTTGCATTTACCTTTGGCCGAATATAAGATTAGGAAGTGATTTTAAACAAAGCTTATATAACAAATTAAAATATTTCCTATAAATTATAATTTAGTGAAAATCGTTACATAAGGAAGCAAAATGTTTTGAGAACTAACAAACACATACGTCACTAAGCAAAAGTGGGAAATTTTAAATCAAAAGTTTCGAATTGAGTTCAATTTAGTGATTTCTCGAAACGTGCCCCTGCTTAGTCATAAATTTAAAAAATTCCTATTTAAATATGAATTAACAAACTATTAAAATTCAAATCAAATAGCACGCACCTGGCGCCTGCTCACCCAAAGATAAAAAACGCAAACCATGAAACCGGCCAATAACCAAAACAAATTCAAAACCGGATCAAAAGAGAAACGCTGGTCAGCTGTGAGGAAAGCCCCCTCGTCTAGTCCAGTGTCTGGGGACTTGTTTTTTCCTATGCGGGTAAAGAACCTCCGAAATTCGCACATTAGATGACTATGATAAAATCGTATAAATAGAGAAAGACTTATGGAAAAGGGCACAGTATCGAGTGCAACGTCGCAGCGTCCTCATCTATTGGGATTATCAACAGATCGAATTTATATTTAAGCACAACATGAAGTTCTTGGTGAGTTACGCCTCTTGAGCGACACACCGCGCAGGAATTAAGGACTATTTCATTTTGAAAACCTCTTCAGGTGATCGTTTTCGTGGCCCTGCTTGCCCTCGCCTCCGCTGCGCCCCAATTCGGATTCGGAGGATTTGGTGGTCAGCAGCAACAGCAGCAGGAAGGATTTGGTGGATTCGGAGGAGGCGGATTTGGGCAGCAACAGCAGCAGCAAGAAGGCTTCAGTGGAGGATTCGGAGGTGGTTTCGAACAACAACAGCAGCAGCAAGAAGGCTTCAGTGGCGGATTCGGAGGATTCGGCGGCGAGCAACAGCAGCAGCAGCAGCAAGGAGGCTTCTTTTAAGGCCATAAAATTATGACATAGCACACTAAAAAACAAAGTAGTTTAAATTAATAAAATAATATTATAAAGAACCAAAGCTGTGATTTTTAATTTTTTACAGCAACTTCAAATTAATGATTCGAAGGATTTAAAATCATTACCTTTTCCTAAATCAATGTTTTATGAAGGTTTTTAGTTGAATGCTTACTACCGTCTCTCAATATTTTATTTTTACAGTCTAATAAGTATGAGTATGAGCCTAGATATTAAAAACACCCAAATCTCAAACAAACCAACAAATTATCACCTTTTAGTTCAATACGATTTACAAAAGAAGATCATTTTAATTTGCTTGATGCGCTAACCAGTTGCAGATGTTGTAAAATATTCCTAAGAATAAAGTGGTTATTCAAAGATCACTTCAGAGGTTAATGGAATAATAAGTTTATCGTCTCTTTGCGGAAGTATTTTTCGGCAGCAATAACAATTATTATAATTTCCGAGCAATTGTGCAAATACTTATAAGACAAAAATGAAGGAGGAGTCCAATGACGTGTGCACAAATTGTGATATAGCTAAATATTCAAACAATAATAACTCAACTAATTTGATTAGCGAAGAGCATATGCCAGAAAGAGCTGATTGAAAACCTGTATTTTTAGTGGGCCCGTCAGCTCCAGATACTTGAACATCTCATCTCATCACTGGAAAAAATCCCCGTTGAAGACTAATATCTACGATCAGCGCAGAAGGGAAGTCCGAGCTGCGTTCGGACCGTGTCCAACCAGTTTGGAGTGGTTGTGAGCCAAACCGAAAATCAAATAAATAACACCAGCCAGCAGGCAGAGCTCAAACAGTTGAGTTTAGCAACTCGGCCAAATAAGACATTCAGTGGAGTGAAAACCTAAAAATTAAAATGAAATTCTTGGTAAGTATGGGGTAATGAGGATATATTTGCCATCGGTCAGTGGGGACTTAAATAAAAAGTGGAAATATGAAATATGTTATTGTGCTCGCTATTATAAGAAACAACGTGTAGTTTACATATTTACAAAATATTAAGTAAAAGGAAAATGTTTAGCTTATATATTAATATAAATAATACCTATAATTCCATTAGAAATAATCATAAGAATTTTACAAATGCTTTGGCATTGAGATTTTATATTTTATTATCAAGAGTTTAATCTCATCAACTGCGTTACGATTATTACTTTGAATGATTTTCCTTATTTATTTTGCAAAAGAACATTTCAAGTTCACATATTTTAAGCTTAATTAGATAATTAAATTTAACTTCCCGTTAGATATTCCTGCTTGTGGCCCTGCTCGCCTATGCATCAGCTCAGTTTGGGCCTTTTGGCGGATTTATTGAGCGATTGGAACAGGGTCAACAACAGCAGCAGCAGCAGAGCGGCTTTGGAGGAGGTCAACAGCAGCAGCAGCAGGAAGAGGGGTTCATAATCAGAGGTCCTTTTGGCGGCGGCCTCGAGTTCTTCGAGGGGCAGCAGCAACAGCAGCAAGGAGGCGGCGGTCAGCAGCAACAGCAGCAGCAGGAAAATCTATTCAATTTCTTTGGTTAATCCTGCTTAATAAGGAAATCTAGCCAAAGACTGACCAGCGCCTCTTGAATTCAAAAGGAAGCCATCCTGAAAAGCCATGATCCAAAAGATACACATTTAGGAATAGAAAATAAAAGAGAATATTTTTTTCCTTTTTAGAAAGGTCAAGTATTTTATTTTTTCTTTTGTGTTTCCAGAGAACTGGTTTTGCTTTAAATTACTTTACTAGTTAAATATAGTTATAAAGCTCCTTGAAGTGATTCCCCCCGCTTTCTTAATCTTTAACGCTTTGCCCAGTGAAATGAAATCAAATCAAATGAAAGTAATTTATTTACGAGGCCAAGGAGCAGACAATTTGCCTCCTATTTGGATGTGAGTTTGCCAATGGTTTCGTGTTCTGTGTCAAAATCGCGATGATGGCCATGGCCAATTGTTATGGCCAAAGTTTTAAGCCAAAAATCGCAAAACTCTAATGAGTGCTATCGTTGAAATCAGAGGAGCAGAGAACGGGAGCGGGCTGGGATATTTGGTTCCTTTATCCGAAAGCACCGAAACACCATCAAAGTCATTAAGCGGAAAACCCTTTTGGCTTCTTTTCCACGCATTTTCATTTCGCCTTGTAATGACTTCATCCCAGCTTCAGAGTCTTTGGGGTTTCGGTTCTGGTTTTGTTATTGGAGACACTTTCGAAGCCATCCTGTTGTTGGCTGTCTGACAAAACAACGGCAGGAGACGGGGAAAGCGGGGAAAGCCAGCCCAACAACCACCCACCAACCGAAGAAAGCCAAGAGCACCAACACTCGTAACTACAAAACAACTTTTTAATTGCAATTAAATACGTAACAAGTTTTTAGTTGTAAGTGCGACGAGCACACAGGGAACTTAGCCGTGGCAGTAGTGCCCATTGGTGCCGGAATATTGTTGTTGCGGGTTGCCCTTATCTATCCCCAGCTATCTGTGGGATATTCACATAGACATATATACGGAATTGCCATTGCAGTGTTTGCCCCACTCGCTGTGTGTATTGCAAAATTGAGTTGTGCGCTTTGGGGTTTTAATTGTTAATTGTTGGCTCAGCGGGCAGCGCTTTTGACGTCGTTGATGACAGTCAGCCAGAACGATGGGGCTGGGCCGGGGACTGGATCGTAAGAAAAGCGAGCTTTGGGGATTATATTGGAGACGGTGGAAAGTGGTAAGTGGAGAGGAATTCCGCCGCCATCACACACACACTCTGCCAGGGGGCGGCGGAAAAGGATGTTGCGGATTAGGGAATTCAGTGGAAACCCTAATGACTTTCGGGTTAAGCGGGGAAGCACATTTTGCGGGAACTTTTAATCAAATCATCAAGTTCATCGAGGCATACGCATCCAATCATTGCCGAAACGCCTTAATTTTAAAACAATTTAAGAGATGGAGTATAATAATTACTATTAATAGTTTCCTTTTATAAATGGTTTATCATTTAATTTGAATTTATAAAATACTTTTTAGTTAGGCTACAATTTTGACCCTCTTTAAAAAGAAAAAGTTTGATGCAGAACATTAGAAAATTCAACCACAAATTCATAGAGGTATGCCACTTCAAAACCGAGATACAATAACTCAAGTTAGGGAATCTTAAAGTGCAGTTTTTGGTTCCCATTCTGAAAACCATTGGAATTACGTAAAAATCGAACATGAAAATGGCTTAATTTTTTGACCCTCATTAAACAGATCAATTTTAATGTAGAATATTAGAGAATTTAGCCACAAATTCATAGAGGTATCCAACTTCAAAATCGGGATACAATCACTCAAGTAATGGAATCTAGAAATGCAGTTTTTGGTTCCCATTCTGAAAACCATTGGAATTACGGAAAAATCTAACATGAAAATGGGTTCAATTTTTGACTATCGTTTAAAAGATAAATTTAACTGCAGAATATTTGAGAATTCAACCCCAAATTCATAGAGGTATTCCACTTTAAAATCGGGATAGAATAACCCAAGTTATGGAATCTAGAAGTACAGTTTTTAGTTCCCATTCTGAAAGCCATTGGAATTGCGGAAAAATCGAACATGAAAATGGGTTAAATTTTTGAACATCGTTTAAAAGATAAATTTTAATGAAGACTATAAGAGAATTCAAGCACAAATTCGTAGAGGTATCCCACTTCAAAATCGGGATACAATAACTCAAGTTACGAAATCTAGAAGTGCAGTTTTTGGTTCCCATTCTGAAAGCCATTGGAATTACGGAAAAATCTAACATGAAAATGGGTTAAATTTTTGACCCTCATTAAACAGATAAATTTTAATGAATAATATTAAAGAATTCAAGGACAAATTCGTAGAGGTATCCCACTTCAACATCGGGACACATTAACTCAAGTTATGGAATCTAGATGTGTAGTTTTTGGTTCCCATTCTGAAAGCCATTGGCATTACGGAAAAATCGAACATGAAAATGGGTTAAGTTTTTGACCATCGTTTTAAAGATAAATTTAAATGTAGAATATTTGAGAATTCAACCGCAAATTTATAGAGGTATCCCTCTTCAAAATCGGGATCCTATAACTCAAGTTATGGAATCTGGAAGTGCAGTTTTGGGTTCCCATTCTGAAAGCCATTGGAATTACGGAAAAATCGAACATGAAAACGGGTTAAATTTTTGACCATCGTTTAAAAGATAAATTTTAATAAATAATGTTAGAGAATTCAACCACAAATTCATAGAGGTATCCCACTTCAATATCGGGATACAATAAGTCAAGTTATGGATTCTTAAAGTGTAGTTTTTGGTTCCCATTCTGAAAGCCATTGGAATTACAGAAAAATCGAACATGAAAATGGGTTAAATTTTTGACCATTGTTTAAAAGATAAATTTTAATGAAGATTATTGGAGAATTCAACTACAAATTCAAAGAGGTACCCCACTTCGAAGTCGGGATCCAATTACTCAATTTATGTAACATGGATGTGCAGTTTTGGGTGTCCAATCTAATAGCCATTGGAAATACGTAAAAATCGAACATAAAAATGGTTCACTAATTTGACCTTCTTCGAAAATAAATATTTTATTGTAGAATATTAGAAAATTAACCACGACTCGTAGAGGAATCCCACATCTTAATGATGTAAACCATTTACAAAGAATTAAAAGCCATGGCATCTCAGCACTTCCCAAGCAATGTCAATGCTTGGATTTCGTTGATATGCAATTTAATTTGAATGCAAATTAAAATATGATGGGGCCACTGATGTTGTCGCTTAACCACTTACCTTTGGCATCTAATGGATCTTTATGTACAGCCACTTGCCCGGCGGTTAAGTAATTTTGGAGGGCCAAAGCTGTCTTAGTAACCTCCAAGTGCCTTTTTTTCTTACCTGTGCTGGGATTCCTTTTTTTTTTGACTCACTAATTTGGCCGCAATTTACATAAAGGACGCGCAGCCCCAAATGTTGTTAGCCATGGTAATTTTCCGTTTCTTCATCGCTTTTTGTTGTGGATATACATTTTTCGAAGCACCCACCGAAAAAAAGGAGCGTAATTTCCCTTACCATTCAACTTGATTAAATTAGAGTATAGCAGAACGGGGCACTGAGTACTAATGAGAGGCAGCTGCATTTTAGTGCCGTCCGAGAATAATATTATCCCAACGCCATCTCAGCTCTCCAAATAGTGACAGATGTATGACTTGGCATTTATAGTTTTGAGTCGCAATTTTCGGTGATTTATTTATGCATGAAATGCAAACAAAATCTGAATAATTACCAACAAAAGCTAACTGAACTGACAGCTAGACAGACAGGCCAAACAAAGCAAGAAATGCGATCCGAGCCGAAGAGCCAGACCTCGCACACATCCAGTAAGGATGGACAGGATACAGGCAGCGAGTCTCGAGCTGTCAGAGGGCATCTGTGTGGGAGCAGGAGTATGGAATACGGAATATTATAATGTTTGCAATCTGCAAATGCCGTTCTCCTTGAATTCATATGACAAGAAAGCGGCTAAAATGACATGCTCTAAAGTGAAGCAAGTCCTTGTTCGGGTCATTAAAATAAGTCCTGATAGCAGAAACACACACTTCTGGAACTATTTTTGACTGATAAACAGATTGGTCCTTATATGTCAAACAGGTTAAGTAGAGAACTCTGCTTAGGTGTTCCCTAAAAAATGCCAAATAGCTAATTGTGTTTATAAAAAATTAAAATAAAATCAGAAATGTAAACTTAATGTATGCACGAACCCATTTGTAGCAAATAAATATAAAAATATTTATATTCTTAAGTATTCTGGAATCAATGATAATGAAACGAAAACTTATTAAACTAATTATTGTAAAATAAATTTTATTTTCTAAAATAAAATAAAAAAATATCCATCTACTAATATATAACTAAAATTGACCTTGGAGGTTATCCAATAGCTTCATGAATTGTTCAAAGAAGTAGACTGTTAAGTAGACTGTATAGTTCTCATTTTTTGCTCTCAATCCATTTAATTAATAATACTTTAAATGAAATCTTTGTTTAATTACCGTTTAAATTAAATAAAACTAATAACACCGAAAACGGACTTATAATAAGTTTTGTGCGTGGCATGAATAACAGCTCACTTCATTTCCTGCCAAAGATCATTGCGTTGAACTAGTGGCCATGGGCAATCTAATAACAAAGTTTGGGCACTTGAGCACTTTGGCCTTTTGGCTTCAACTGGATCGGGCCACGCCCAGTTTGGGGCGGGTATACCGCCCCGGGGGGAAGGGGCATCCCTATTATAACGCCGACTTTCTATGCCTTTGCAGTGCAGCAGTAAAAATGACTGCACACAGCTGTGCTTCATGGCTGCGAAGCGGAATCTGGAGGAGGCTGACGCTACTGCGGCAGTAAGATTTTATTAGCGGTGGTATTAGCAGCGACAGCAAGCCAGGAGGGGAAGGATCCCCAGCCGTCCCACACCCACTTTCCCATCGGTCAGCCCCTGCCCCACAGTGGATGGCGTTGCATATTAATGCAGGCATAAAAATATTTACAACTTTTTTATGCAGCAAACATTTTTCGCTGCCACCGCTGGCGGGCGTTTTGTTCTTGGCAAATTTAATATAATTTCTGGTCGTTTAATGACGGCTCATTCAAAAGTGTTCGCCGGGAAAACTCCCATTTTCGCCGAGTAGCCGGCGGGCACAAC